TCGCTGCGTTGTTGTTGAAGGCTGTCGTGGTCGATGTTGGTGGTCGTGGTGGCCATGGGTGATCGAGGAGCGACGTTGGCGGTGGTGGCTATGGGTGACGGTGATGGCGTGGCGTTGGCGGCGGTGACAAGCATGGTGGTGGTGGTGGAAGAAGAGGGTGGCCATGTTTGGTGAGCATGTTCACCAAACAAACATTGTTTGTGATCCATTGAAAATAAATAAACTATAACACAGTAACAAATAAATAAAATAAACAGATTGGACTGGAATCCCATTCCTGCCCACTCCGGGGAACACCATTCCTGCCCATTCCGGGGAAGACCATTCCGGGGAACATTCCGGTGTACATTCTGGAATCCACCGGAATTCCACCGGAATGGAAAACACCGGAATAAACAATTTAGCAGGGCCTTCTGCTAAATTCCATTCCACCGGAATCCACCGGAATTCCACCGGAATGACCGGATTCCTGCAGGAATAGGGGGGGCACTGCTAAGACCTCCCCTTCTGTAAAGGCAAATCGATAACGAGTATTGCCTTTGAGTGCGCCATTCAAGGCAGTGATCTTGATGTCATCAAAGTGGCTGAGGGATATCAATTCAATGCATGGTGGCAGATGTGGGCGACCAGGGTCATCTTCGTCTTCGTCATTCATGCCTTCCACAGTGGCTGAGGAGAGGGAGTTGGATGGTGGAACTGGAGCATCAGGCTCTGTGGCACATATCCTAAAATTATTATGAGATTGTTCTAATGTAATCTACAGCAGAAACAACTCACGTAGTGACAACGTCGTCCATGTTGTCAGGCAAAGCAGGGACAGAATCCTGGACACTGTTTAAATGAAGTTAGTTTATGTTTCCGAGGCCGCCGCTGCCCAACCAACTAAAGTCTGGTTGAGCAGGGTTGTCGACATAAAGTCTGATTCCATGATGGATAAAACAATAAGGTGAGCAACTAACCTTCTTTTGCCAGCTGCTGCCCTCAGCCGCGCTTCTGCCTGTGCGAGGTTCATCGCTTGCACATCATCGCGGGATTTGTTGGTCGATATCAAGATGCATTTGAGGACTTGACGCGTGGAGATAGTGACTATATAGATGCTGCACGACATACCTTTTTGGAGAGATTTGGCTCTGGCTTTTTGTTTTTCTTTGAGCTTTCGTTGGCCTTTGAAGCCTAAGTGACATGTGCCACGTCAGTACACAGTCGGGGAGGGAGGGTGATTGACTTACAGGGGGTTTCGTGGAATGAGATCTGCCACCTGCCAAACCTTGGTCTTTTTGTTTGGGAGCGCAGGGAGGCATACTGTAGAGTGAATTAGGAAGCCCTTGGTGGCTTGTTCAAATAAGTCGCGGTGGAAGGAAGTTCCTCCCAGTGGGTGTGAGCTGGTTAAATATTTGTGTGCGTGTGATCACATGCAACGCGACAGCCCTGACGACCTTCGAAATTTGGACAGTGTGGAGGCAGGCCATGCATGCATATTAGGGTTAGTAGCCCAGACTGAATGGTGGGTTGAGCACGTAATACAGCTGGTCGACCGAAAGACTTACATTGTGAGTGCCGCACATGGGGTAAGGCGAGAGTGCAGCCTATACACATTGGAAAGCATAGATCTGAGTTCTGCATATATAATTTCAACTATTATCTTTTCTATTTTCGAGCAGGAGGTCAGGGTGATTGGTCGAGGCTAAAGGGATTTCTTCAAGTGAGCAAGTAACATGACTGAAAAAAACGAGCACATACCTCCTGAGAAAGAGGTCACTTGTGTGTTCCCTTCAATTTGGAAAGGCATTTCAGCCTCTGGTGTGTTCCCTTCTATTTTGGAAGGCATTTGGGCCTCTACATAAATGGTTGTAAGTAGCATATTCTTGTATATAATCTATTCTATATTGTATTCTATTTTCAAGCAACAAGATAAGGCCTTTTGCCACTGAGAGACTGGTGGGTGCAACTAAGGTTAGTCATTCACAATGTAGTTTCAGATAAACAACGTACATCCGGGTAGACGGTGTTTGATCTAGAATTTCCTGCTTACCAATGTCGGTAATCGATGCGATTGTAATGCGAGCATGAAGATACTGCGCTGAATTAGCGGGAGGTCCGCATGACTGGTCAACGCTAAAGGGGTTTCTTGTAAGCAAGGAATGCCACTGAAAAACTCAAGCATGTACCTCCGAACATATGCGAAACGCGTTGCCTTGGGCGAAGGTGTTTTGAGGCTGAGAGGCTGATGGGTGCAACCAAGGTCATTAAGTCATAACGCAGTTTCAGGGAAATGACGTACCTCCAAGTGGACGGTGATTGCTGTAATTGATGCGATTGTGCATAGAGGGCGGTCGACGGTTGCGATAAAAGTCTTATCGGCCAACTACAGTCTGGCTGGAAGATGTACGAAGAATCTGACTGAAAGTCAAGTCAGTCAAGCCAGCAACTCAAAGTCTGCTGGCAACCATACCTGGTGGGTGAGCAGGTGAAAGGAAATGGGACGAACCTTGATCTACCTTTTAAGGTTGATTAAACGGAGGTGCAGCACCCCGTGATGTTGGTGTTTGAAGCTCACGCCAAACAAAGTCAGGTCTTCAGCTTCTCCCTTCATCTTCTACGTCCCCCGTGCCCCCACAGCCTTGATTGGTACAGGTAAGTTGTCATTCGTTATCTCGTTCTGAACAGCCGGCAAAGCCAAGATCAGACTTTAAGTCAATCGTTCACCAGAATATAAGTCAATGGCAAGCAAGCAGACTTTCAGTTGTTCGTCTTCAGCCTCAGCGGCCATTCGTACATGTCGTTTCATAGATTCTGTGTTCCATAGTCTGTAACCGCATAACCATACTTACTTTACCTGTGTATTCCTCAGTCAATGTTTTGTTGGGTAAGTGGAACTTTACAATGGCCCAAACCCTTCGTCACCTAAATGACTGTTGCCTACAGTTCCTGTCAGCTTGACTTGTATCACAATGCCATCTTCCAGTCAATATGAGGAGCCCTTGATACACACATGTGAGCTTCTCTGTACGAAGAGTCTGATGCTGCGACTGGTGGCTACCACTTTTATCATAAAACCAAGGCACTTGCCTGTAGAGCTGTGTGTATAAGTCCACAAGTTTTATGAAAGGCCTTTCATAGGTGTGTCCTGTGTCTTTCTTTCTCATAAAGGCTATGTTCTTTTCATAAAATGTAGGCAAAGACCACAGGATCCTTTCATAACATTTCTTAGGACCTTTCATAAAAGCTTTCATAATTATTATCATGTGCTTTCTATGAATATTTCATTGAAGCTGTTCAGTTCTTTCATTGTACTTTTCATAATTAAACCTGTGTGCTTTCAATAGGTATTTCATTCACTGGGTTAGGTGTATTCATTGCCTTTTTCATAATTAATGGTGTGCACTTTCATTGAATATTTCATTAGGAATTTTCGGTGCTTTCATTGCTTTTTTCATAATCAATCCAGTGTAATTTCAATAAATATTTCATTGACTATGTCAGGTGTATTCATTGCCTCTATCATATTTAATGGTGTGCGCTTTCATTGAATATTTCATTAGGAATATTGGATGCTTTCAATAAATATTTCATTCCCTAGGTCAGGTGTATTCATTGCCTCTTTCATTAGGAATTTCAACGATTTTCATTCCCCTTTCATTAATTAATGGTGTGCGCTTTCATTGAATATTTCATTAGGAATATTGGATGCTTTCATCGTACTTTTCATAATTAATGTTGTGTGATTTCAATAAATATTTCATTCCCTAGGTCAGGTGTATTCATTGCCTCTTTCATTAGGAATTTCAACCATTTTCATTCCCCTTTCATTAATTAATGCTGTGTGCTTTCATTGAATATTTCATTATCAATTCTGGGTGCTTTCATTGTGCATTTCAATAAATATTTCATTGCCTAGGTTATATGTATCCATTGCTTCTTGTGCACTTTCATTGGGATTTTTGATTGAGTATCTCTCAATATTTCATTCCAATTTCATCTCTACCCCCAGGGCTATCATTATGATTTTTCATTATATTCCATGATAGCAATAAAATAGCTATTATGGTCCGCATTGGGAGGGGCGTCGCCACCACAACAATGGTGATACCGCCCTTGAATTCTATGAACGCGATGGTAAGCATCATTTATCTATGATGTTTCTATCTGACATTCTACTAGTGTAGGGGAATTCACAGCATTTGACGTATTAGCAATTACAGAGCTCAACGAGGCGTATAAACCTCATCAGAAAACAGGTGTTCCCCCACCTTACTTGAAGCCAGGGCAGACCATCCCCAACTGGATGATTGTCACATCTCCCAACGCGGATTGGATGCCATTTATCTCTTTGCGACCCCGAGCTGTCCGGGCACAAGAGGACGGTCGTTTTGCCTGGGCAGATTTCACTGTATGCCCACAATGGTTTATCGACACCCATTGGCATCTCCCTTTCGTCAGATCGCGTCCGCTCGAAGTCAAAATCAAGGAGCATGAACTCAGGTTCTGTTGGTGGGAGTTGCGAGATAACCACTTTGTGGAAGCGAAAGGCTCTGCTTACCGCGATCTTGGTACTCTGCGTGGTGATATCGCCGATTTTCTGCGAGAGGAGGCCAAAATGCTTCACCTTGCATGCCGAGACATTAAGCAGACGAAGGATTTTGGCCGTCTCTTTTACCTGGTGAACAAGACTGCAGACGTGGCCCTGCAACTCAAATTTTGCTCTTTCACCAAACATGACATGATCTACCGCATCTGCTCCTTCCAGCGCCTCTATCTGGAAACCCTCGCCATGTTTGACTGGCACACCAAGTGGGCTTTCCATCTCAACGACAGCACCAGCAAAATCTACGAGATTGATGAAACGATCATGGGTGCAATTATGGACAGCCCCAACTGTATCGCAATGCTCTACTGAGCTGGTGTACCTGGTTGGTATGTCCGACCGCCCTCAAGTATCCCACATGACATGACTATTCGTTGCATCATCGCACCTGGTTGGGAAAAAATGCCAACGACACACGGTCGTCAGTCAAGTGAGTGTGATCCACGTGAATTTATGGACAAAGACTACCCTGGAATGCCTTTCCCGACTGTGCTCACAGCATGCCCTCGAAGTGGAGATTACGTTATAGCCTGCCAGAACTGGCATGAGGGGCATTTTGGTCCCACTGACGCTCAAGTCGTCGCCAAGGAGGCCCCAACTGGTCCTGCCATGGTAGTGACTTTTCCATCCGGTAAGTTTTTACATGCTAAGTACTTTAAAAACACGTCAACTCATATTTTTGCATAATAGGAGGTCTTATCAGTGCCCCCCCTATTCCTGCAGGAATCCGGTCATTCCAGTGGAATGGAATTTAGCAGAAGGCCCTGCTAAATTGTTTATTCCGGTGTGTTCCATTCCGGTGGATTCCGGAATGTACACCGGAATGTTCCCCGGAATGGTCTTCCCCGGAATGGGAGGAATGGTGTTCCCCGGAGTGGGCAGGAATGGGATTCCAGTCCAATCTGTTTATTTTATTTATTTGTTACTGTATTATAGTTTATTTATTTTCAATGGATCACAAACAATGTTTGTTTGGTGAACATGCTCACCAAACATGGCCACTCTCTTCCACCACCACCACCATGCTCGTCACCGCCGCCAACGCCACGCCATCACCGTCACCCATAGCCACCACCGCCAACATCGCTCCTCGATCACCCATGGCCACCACGACCACCAACATCAACCACAACACCCTTCAACAACAACGCGGCGACGCCACATCACGAAACAACGAGCGCCGTAACCCACGAAAACCCCCAACGCCCACGAAAACAACGCCCCCAGACACAAAACGACACCCAACGGGCACAAAACGACGCCCACCGCCCATGTACACCGCCAGCGCCCACGAAAACCATACCCCGCCCACGAAAACATCCCACCACCCACCGAAAAACACGAGCGCCCACCGAAAAACACGCAGCTTCCTCTGGAATTCCACTGGAATGACTCTATTCCTGCAGGATTCCCCTGGAATTCCACTGGAATGACCCCATTCCTGCAGGATTCCTGCAGGAATAGGTGGGGCACTGTAAAGTACTGCATAATAGCCCCATCTTTGTCCCATGGAGCCACCATCCAAATGTCGAATAAACCTGCACAAGGCAAGTTCCCTTCTGGCCCATCTCGGCGGTTACTAATTGAATTGGTTCATTATAGTTGGCATAAATCTCGCCAAATTCCAGGAGCCGGATTTGGACTATGTACCAACACAATCTGCTGCCTGGAAGAAGGCGTTAGCAGCGGTGGATACTGATTCTTGCTGCATAACCTCAAACCCTGTCAGGAACAAGCTCCATGGTCATCAATTCCCAGACCCCTTTCTCTTTATCACCAGTGCAAACCATAGAAGCATGATACTGGCTTGGCTGATGATGCAAGCTCAGTGGCTTCAGTTGCTCATCAACGTCGATACCGCCCTGCATTTGCCTGCGCCACAGCATTGGCGGAATTATCTCTACAATTTCGCCAAGGAAATGTGCTTGCTCCCTCCGTTACCCTCAACGAGCAAAGTAGCCCATGGTGGGGTGCAAAAAAACAAGGGAAAAGATCGGCCTGTGACAAAGGGGACCAACCGCCGTTCTTCCAAGGCCAAGGAGGTTCAAGCTTCTATTTTCTCCTATGCAGTGTCTCTTGGCTCTCATCCCAATGTGGTTTATTGGGGGAACATGGCAGTCATGCAAGGGGAAAACGACCCCTGACATCATATCACAGGTGATTTGGAACGTGTTTGAACAGAATTTCCGCCACGAGATCCACCAGCTCAACCATCATCTCTTGCCTGCTGCCTGGGCATCAGTATCTGAAGCCGGCTTGCGCAAGAACCTCATTCGTCACATTTTCCCTGATGACAGCAACAGTGTTGTCATCTCCACAGATCCACCTTCTCACATGGGCCTAGCGGCGGATAATTGGCAGGATTGTGTGAAGTATGTGGAAGCTTTACAACGAGTGGTATTGGGTTGGCCAGGGGACACTTTGAGACAGTTGAAAGTGCAGTACATGTCTGAAAGTATGTCAGAGGCCAAGTTTAGGGAATCTGAGGAAGCGGTGGTGAGGGTGTACTGCCAGACCTTTTTCAACAACTTCGGTCGTGCACCTTGCACCCCACATCATCATCGCGATGTCCTGTCATCATCACCGTCTAGCGCCTAGCGGGCAGGGGGCCTCCCATCATATATTGTGGCATGCATCAACATCGGAGGTAGGCTCATCGCAATCTGATTGATTCATCGTGCCACAGACTAACATCGGACATAGGGTATTCACAATTTGGGCAATATCTTGTACTCTCCTCTCACGTCATGTTAATTTCGGACATATGTATAATAATAGACCTGTCTTGTGATTGATTGTGTAGGTGAGATAAGACAGTCAATGGTTGGTTTTTGCCTTTCTTCCCTCCCCATCTTTGTCCCTCGTCTAACGGCGCCATGTTCAAACGGAAAGCGGTAAAATCTCATGAAGAGCTTCTCAGAAGCTTAGTGGCAGCAGGCACATTCCAAACACGGAGAGTCTATGGCACGGGAGACATGACATCTGAACCCTGGGCCAATGTTTACACTCCCCAGGGCCATTTTGTCCAGCATATAGATTCCTCTCAAGAGGATCAAACTGATACTTTCAAGGCTTTGGCCACTGACATAATTGGTGAAGCTGAAGGGGTAAAACCAGGTAAAAAGGCATGCCAATTTCAGCGATGGGAGGGGGAAATCCTTCCTGCTCTTATGCAACCTTATATTCAACTCCTGAGGGAGACTGACTCTCTGCGAAATATGTTAGAAGTTAGACAGGTGGCTGGTTGTAGTGGTTGTCATGCCGGAAGATCTTTAAAAGTTGCATGTATATTTTTTGAAAGTATGTTAATTTTTTGTTTTGTCTTGGTTGCTCTTTTATTCTTATTGGGCAGGGATTGAGACACTCACTCTGTGTACATGCACATCTCCAGCCCTGCAACTGCTTCAGCAGGGTTTGTTTCCTTGTGCTCCACTTTTGCCCTCTCTTGCAGTTGACCTGAATATGCTTGAGTTTGTCAATGGCCTTTTTGTCAATGCTGCACCAAATACAACAGCTTGGTGTGAGACCTTGGAGTCATTTCTTGGTAATAGGAGGTACAAGCTATCTACTCGAGTAAGTTCCCAGTTTTTTTATGGATGGTTTCTGATATCTGGTGTCTTTCTTAGAATAACTTGTGCCGGCGCTTTGGGGCTGCTATGCAGTGGTATGCTACACTGATCGATAAAAAAAACCACTACTTGGCCAACTACTTGGATCAATTTAGGCTGCCAGTCACTGATTCTTCAGGTATGATGACACTTTATATATATATATATATTGGGGGGTTTGTTCATCTTATATCTATTTGTATAGATGATGGTAAGTACAAGCCAGGGATTTTCCCTATGGTTAAGCTGAGAGCCACATTTGATAGATGCAGAAATGATCAGCCCAGATAGTGAAAATGCTACTCCAGAGGCTGCATCTGTTCCTGAGACAGATAATGAAGATCAACCGAGTAACTACTTACGCTCCTGTTGCCCACTCTGTTTTGGGGGAAAGGATTGGAAGAAAAACGAGTGTGTGATCCTTCTTCTATTTCAAGAGTTGTTACTAAGGTTCCTTTTGGAGTGTCGACTTTATAGTATGTCTAGATGCATGCTTCAAGCAGAAATCAAGAAAGGCTCAAGGCAAGGAACCACCTGCTCCTCGTCAGCATCCTCATACCATTTTTGTCTCCCCAACTGATGTCAAAGCGATGGAAACCACAGTAGAGAATATTCGACCACAAGTTAAACCAAAAGGCAATGAGAAATCTAGGCAACCACCTGTGTCAGAGGCTGCAGATCACTGTGAACCTGGTATAAAAGTACCTAACTCTGTGTTAAACTTGTGTGAAGACTCTTTTACTGCTGCAGATGAAAAGAGAGTTCAGTTCTTCTCAGACACAGGTCTAATGGCAATGCTCTGTTGACATGATCGGGTTCTGTGGCTTGCCAATATGACTTCAGCTGGTGAAAAGCAACATTATGCTCTTGTTCTTTTGGAGCGTCTCTTTGATCACTTACCCTCTACTGCATGTGTGGGTGTACTCTATGATATTGGCTGTCAACTTCATCAAAGTTGTGTTAAATGGGGTTTTCTAAAAGACTTTCATGATTGTTTGATATGGGCTATCTCAGTGTTTCATGCTTATGGTCATCAGTGGGCTTGCCAGCTTATTTACAATCCAAGAAAGTGTACTGGTTTTGGATTAACTGATGGTGAAGGCTGTGAAAGATTCTGGAGCTCAATTAAGCTTTTGATTCTGTCACTGCGTGTTAGTGGCTACTACACACATATCTATACAATTGATACCCAAGTGAAACATCTGGACCACAAATCTCTCATGGGTCTGGGAGACTGGCTAAGGAGAAAATGGAATGCTGCTATTCTGCGAAGAAATGAGGCTACAGCTGTTTTGGCTGAACTTCAGAAGAAAAATATCACTGAAGATCTCTGAGAACAATG